TTATGTCATTGTTGTTGTGAAGTCGCCAGTTTGAATTTCATTATATTGCCTTTCCCTCCCAATGCTTCTCTATTTCATATCATGTTAATGATTTGGAGAAGTGAGAATTTAGAGAGGAATAAAAGGGACAATAATAATGGAATCAAACGAAAAAAGAATGCAGCGGAAAATAATTTTAGGCGGTGAATCCTATAAGGAATGTTTCAAAGTGCTTAACTGAAGTACAACCAGTTTTTAAGACACTTTTAAAACATCTCTATAAGAAAGCCTCATGAAAATTAAACCCCCTTAAGCATAGATTTTAGGTGATGCCATCTATTATGGGGTTCAACTTCTTCTATAAGGGTAAACCCTTATAATTAATTACACTTTAAGTAGTCCAAACTACATAAGAAAACTCCCGATTAAGGTTACTATCTATTCTTTAAAAGTGTAAGTGTTGTTGGTAAGGAAGGAAACTTCAACGTTTTTTCCTATGGGTAGTAGATTCCTAAAGATTCCAGACTATCCTATATGTTTGTCTTTAGTTGAGATTCATCCTTTGTTCCAAGTTTTGACTGTCAATCCCTGCAAAATAAAATTGGCACGCCCTAATAACATGTAAAATAAACCTAGGTTGACGTTCACCTTTTGACTTCAGTAGCCCTATAATGCAAAGTTAACGAAGAATTATGTTTTAGCTTTTATTAATTTAGTTTGTTTATTAATTTTTAAATTTTAGACGACCCAATCAAGATGTTCATGGCTCTGTCGTCCCAGGGTCATCGGGTGCCCTAGTTTACTTAGTCTAAGAGGTGTTTAAACATACTCTGACCAGAAGATTCTTGTCAGCATCCACGAATTGAATCATCTAAGAGATCTTCGTAAAGCAGGATAGGCTGGGTTAAAGTTATCTTCGATGATCTTTATTCATTAAGGTTTCATTTAAGTTTTATTGTCTTTTTTTGGATTTTGGGGGTTGAAAATCTTAAGTTGCTTAAGTCTTATTATCTGGTTAATTCTATTTTTATCGTTTTTTGTTTATTTTTATCTGGGATGACATGATCAAAATCCCATAGTTTTATTGTCCTAGGTCATTGACACAAGTGACTAGAATATATTTTGTTTGCAGCCATGAGTGCCTTCTTCAAATTACCTTATGGAACCAAGTTGCATTTTTTTTTGTTAAAGTTGAAGTCTTAGTGGCTTTTAAGGTAAATTTTATGTCATTTTGTTTAAATTGGTTATTTATTTATTTTTTACCCAAATTATCCCCGACTAAGGTTAAATATATTCTATTCAAACCCTATTTAACCTCAAGTTACCTAGGTCTAGGTTGATTTTGAATCTGCTCAAGTTGGATTGAATTGATCCAAAGTGAGTTTCTATGTAATCCGAGTTAACCTGAATTAGGCTAATTGTCCCTCAGATTATCCTCAATCCTTGTCTTAAGTTTAATGGGATTAATCCAGGTTGGCATAGTTTAAATAAATTGAAACAAAACTTACTCGACTCCATAGAGATATTGAGTTGATCATTCATCAAGTCATATTAACTTAAAATCAACTTAGCTTAGAATAAGATGGATTAAGTCAAGTTTAAGTTATATTAGATTTATTTAAAGTCTAAAATAATTTATACTTGAATTACTACTCAAGTTTAAGTTGGATTGAACTTGAATAGATCCTTAATTAAACTTATTTCAAACTTTCGAGGTTGAGTCTCAAATTAGGTTGATCTGAGTTAATTTGATTTAGGTCAAATCAACCCTGAAAGTTTGGCTGATGCGGACTAATTCGAGTTAGGTCGGGTTAGCCCAGTGGTTCAATTGATTTGGGTGAACCTGAGTTAGATCAGGTTGATCCAATATTTTTTGTTGATTTGGTTTAACTCAAGTTAGGTCGGATTGACCTAGTGTTTTAGTTGGTTTGTGTTTAGATTCAATGAAGTTTAAACCTAAAAGGGTTTAGTATTAAGTTCAATTTGGGTTGGACCAAGAGTTAGGTTCAATTTGGGTTGAACCTAAGAATTTAAGTTTAGGTTCAATTTGAGTTAACCCTAAAGATTTACGGTTAAGTTCAACTTGATTTACCCCTAAAGGTTTAGGGTTAGGTTCAACTTGAGTTAACCCTAAGGATTTGGGGTTAAATTCAACTTGAGTTAACCCTAAGGGTTTAGGGTTTCATTCAATTTGAGTTAACCCTAAGGATTTAGGGTTAGGGTTAGGTTTAATATGGGTTAGACTCAACATTTAGGGTTAGGTTCTCAACCTAGGTTTAGGGTTTAATCGAGTCTTAAATTAAGTCAGAATTAGTAGAATAATTAGGTCTAATATAAGTTAGACCTAATTAGGTTTAAGGATCAACTAAGTCTAATCTAAGTAAGACTTAACATGTTAATTAGGTTTATGTAGGTTAGACCTAATTAGGGATTAAGGATTAAATAATTCTAATTTAAGTAAGACTTAATAGTTAAATTAAGTTCAATGTAAGTTAAACCTAATTAGGGTTTGAAGGCTAATTAAGTATGACATAATGAGTTAATTAGGTCTAATGTAGGTTAGACCTAATTAGGTTTTAAAGGTTAATTAAGTTTAATTTAATTAAAACTTAATAGGTTAATTAGTTCTAATTTAGGTTAAACCTAATTAAGGTATAAGGATTAGTTAAGTCTAATTTAAGTAAGACTTAATGGGTTAATCGAGTCTAATATAGGTTAGGCCTAATTAGTTTTTAAAGGTTATTTAATTCTAACTTAATTAAGATTTACTTGATTAATTATGTGTAATATAAGTCGGACATAATAATGATTTAAAGGTTAATCTTGATGTAATCTTTATTTTGAATGACCTCCATTACTAGGTCATTGAAACTCTCAACATGGTCACCTTGAGTACTTCATTTTTAGACAGCGGGTGTTCATTGTATCGGGTCAACCACTAGTCAGGATACCGGGCCTGACTCCCTAGGTGGTATGTTTGTTGGTCGCCTAGTGGTCATGAGGTGGCTAAGTGTCTTTATAGCAAGGACGAGTGGAAGGATGTGAATCATGTCTCGGTTTACACCCTTCATCTTAGGGGGGGGGGTCTTCTAAGGGCGATGTGTGGATGATTCTACTATGGAAGAAACAGGGTTAGAGTTACACTCCTTAGAAAATATGTGGTTCTTAGCAAGCTCAAACAACTTAGCTGATGACTTTGGTCGCTACAGAGCCAAACTCAACTAATGTTTTTCGTATGTCCTTTAACCCTTGAGCTAGGGAGGCAAGAGCTACTGCGAGTTCTAAGTCCCACACTTCAAAATTCTCCTTCTGAAATCAAATTATGAAGGAGTGAAGGCTCTTCTTCTATCCTTAGTAGATCTGCAATAGCGACTGCTAGTTTTTATTAAAATTAGCAGATGATTTGATTATTCCCGGTAGTAATCCATTAAACCACTTAAGGGACTACTCCTCGATGTGGTAAAAAGAAGATGACATTTCGATGCGCCAGTGATCCTCAATAAGCACATGATCAATTCAAACGAGGCTATGTGGCAGGGTGGATCAGTAAGTCTCTAGTGTAGGGATCTTGAATTGCTTCGGGGGCTCGACCTCGAAGATTTGTTGAGAGAGTGTATTCTAGGGCTTTTGGGGTGCCTCAGTACTTTCGAACAAATGTCAGTTGATTGGCGCCAACCAACACTATCAAAGTACCAGGAGTCACATTCTATTTTCAAAGCTAGGGGGCCTCTTCTACCTTTGTGTGTCATCTCTTCTTCTCGAGGTTGTTGATCCCTTTCCTGGGTCAGTGTGTCTTGAATGACATCACATATTTGATCTTTCCTCTCCTGAATCTATTATACTTCAAACACCCTGGTGCACTCCATGTTGGCAGTGCCTCAGTTGTGGGTTTCTTCTTCTTGGGCTACTTATCTTCTTGCTTATGACATGAACCACGCTCACCACACTTTTTAAGATTTTGAATCCTGATATATCTGTAAATCACACTCAATGAATAGAGCATAAGTAAGAGATAAGTAAGAGAGAGAGCGAAGAGAGAGAGAGAGAGAGGAGCAGATACTAATACATTTGTGTTTTATTCTTGAAATGATCTTTTTAGTTATAAGGGATAGAGTACAACATGTGTTGCTATATTTTTGCACTCACTTTAATGAGGTCGGTAATGACATATTTCTAGTATTTTACATGGGCAAGCCCATCGTCCAACTGCTTTGTAGCTTGACCGTTTAGGCTTAATTGACTTCATGTTGGCAAGATTAGCTTGGTCGACTGAGATCCACTCGATCAGCTGCACTTAGTTGATTTGAGTCGGCCAGTTGATATGGCTCGATTGTTGATCCTTGACCTTTGATCGGGGGCCTCTAGAAGTTCTTGGGATGGTTGGAGTTATCGAGAAACTGAATCTTCAATTGGATCCACTTTTATATTCTGGTTGGCTCAGATGCCTCTTTGTCTTGTTTTTGACCAAATAGTTCGGTCTCAAAACATTGGGTGGTTTTTTAATTCTCCTCATGACTCCGTTGGCTATGAACTTATTGGTTTCGACTTGACAACTTCATTCAGTCGGTTAAATTGGTCTCATGTTCTTCTCTCAGGTGGACCCTCCACTGTTGCACTCTTTTCTCCTGGACCGTTAGATCTCCCGAGAATCATCACCAACACATTTTTTATGTACAAAATGAATGATTTTTTCAAACATAAATAACTAGTGCATAATATCATCAAGTAATAATTGAGCATGGAGATGAAATATTTGCATTGGAACTTTCTTAAAGTTCAATCAAATGTGAGCATCCATAGTTGGAGATGAAAAAACCTAATGGAAAGAGTATGCTCACACATGTTCTTATTGGAAACTTCACACTTACATGTGCAAGAATTTAAATTTCTATTATAATATTTTCAGCGTAAATGAATTTTTAATATATTTTTCTGAGAAAATAAGAAGCGCTTTATTTATGGTAATATACAAACTGAAAATTTGCATAAAACAACCCTTTTTTTCTTTTTTGTTCCATCGTCTAGATACAGTGTTTGGCCTTTAGCTATTATTTATGGCCTTATGGGGCAATCAGCCGGCAACAATCAGAGTAAAATAAACGCGGAAGCAGTAGATTTGAGAACCATCTGAGGGAATCGATCGAGCTTAGCGGCGTAGGGAGAGCGGCCGTCGTTCAAGAGATCAACGAGGAATGGGTTGCAGGAATGGAGAAGCGGAGACTACGTTGGAAATGCGGGCGACCACTTCCGGTGATGCGCTTCTTCTGGCCACGATGTGCTCCGTGGGACGACCGGTCGAGGTACAGGTCAAGGACGGCTCCATCTACTCCGGCATCTTCCACACCGCTTCCCTCGATGAGGGCTATGGTAAGATCTCGAACCCTCATTGCTTGATCTGCATTGCTGTCTGATATGAATGCATCTGTTAAGGCTCTTTTGTTAGGGTTGGCATGATTTAATTTTTTTTTTTCGGATTGAAATTGTGAAGGGATCGTTTTGAAGAAAGCTAGGATGATTCAGAAAGGGAGATGCTCTAATTTAAAAGTAGGAACTTTTGTAGATACTCTGGTTGTGCTTTCCAACGACCTTGTTCAAGTTATCGTGAAGGTAAACGCTGGGATTTTTTGTTCTGGTTTGATGCTGTTGTAGTGGTTGCTTATTTGATGTGCTATTTTCGGCCAGGATTTTTCGCTTCTCTTTGAAGAAGATATTGATTATTCTTTTAGTGATCGTTTGCGGGAAGGAATCGAGGCAGCAGATTCCTGTGGCGCAGGTGCTACATCTGGGTAAGTATGAATCGGATGGTTTAGTAAATTTGCCAACATTTATATTAAATTCATCTCATTACAATAAACCAAATTTGCCAAGATTTCTATTAAGTTCATCTCATTACAATCTTAAATCTTGTTTCCTTTCCATCTTAAGCTGAATGCTAGATGTAAAAGGAAGTAAAATTCAAGAGATTTAAATAAATTCTTCTCATTGAGCCTTTTCTTATTCTTTATCTATATTCTAATTCTCGAAAATGTGGTATGAGCTCATTAAAATTTAACTAGATTCAATATCTATCAGTGTCAACAAATTTCATGATTCTCCATGATTTACTATTTGCTGAAAAGGATTTACAAAAAGCTTGAATTGTAGTTCGGAGAAGCATCTTGAGTAATGGACTGGTCCTAAGTCCCTTAGAGAGGTGTTTCGGGGAGGGTGAAAGCCTTGTTTAAATTGAACCTTGCCGCAACACGAGACCTTGTTTGCTAGTTGGGTTGTTTGGGACCCTAATTGAATGATAAATTTCATCTAAGACTAAATATAAGCAAGAGATCGATAACATACAAATCCCACTAGATAAAGATGAAAATAAGACCGTGCATTAGGTCAATTATGTTGGAGTGATTGACATACTTGTTGAACCAACCAAAACAAATCCAATGATGGATAGAATCAGATTTACTAAATAATATATTGAACCGAACCGAACCAAATAAAACCAAAATAAAATTTAGTTCATTCCATTTGATTTTGGTTTAAACGAATTTAGAAATTTTAGCAAAGACAATTCAATTAATTCAGATGGATTGATTGTTGGATTTGTTAAACTAATTGGTTGTCTGATTTAGTTTAATACAATATAATTCAACTTTTCAGTTTATCCACTTTTTTTCAAATTAAACCAATAGCTGTAATCTTAATAAGTTTCAATTTTAAACCAAAAATGGATTCTTGTTTTTGTTTAATCAAACCAAATAAACCAAGCATGTTTGATTTAGGTAGTTTTTTCTAGTTTAAACCAAATAATGTACACTCCTAGATGTAAAGAACTTTGAAGAGCGAATTTTATTTGTAAGATTATGATAATTTTTTGAAAATATATTATCTTTTTTAATATAATTTTCTTCAAGATCTTTGAAAAGTAAATATTTGAAAAATGTAACAAAATGAAAGTTTTGATGCCGGAAAGAAACAATTTTTTCCTCCATTTCATGGAATTTCTCATCTTAGTATTTTCGCACCTGAGCATCTGATGGAGGAGACCTCCATTTTTCGTCATATGATTCAAATTTTTTTTTATCACGGGAGGATGATGGAATTGTGGAGAAGATGGCATAAATAGTGTCTTATTAATTCTTCTAGCCAAATCCAGTTTTTTACGTGATGGATTGTCCTTATCATTAACTTTTAGTATAAATTTATTAAGGTGACTTGGATCAATAGTCTATTTTTGCTTAAATTGAAGCTATTTTGATATATTGTAGGTTTTTCTGATCAGCAAAACCATCACATAACAATCTTTGTCCGATTTTGTATTTAATAAAAACATTGCTGCTCTCACTAAGGGCGGATAAATTGGCCTTTCATGTATGTTAACCATACTTTGAAGTTATGGTGTATATGAATTGGTAATGTAGAGCTTTCCATTATATATTTTGTGCGCAAATTGAATTTTTGGTGTGCTTGATATTTGAAAAGTAAACCAATTTGGAGTTATAAACAAATGAGACCTCAGATGACATGATATCAATGGGTGTGACACCCACCTAAAATTAGAGCCAACAACTTGTGTTTTGGGCGGTGAAGAGTTTAGCAAATCATGATTTGCTTATGCGACGGTGGAGTTCTCAGGTATGGTGAAAGCTCGGCTGATTGTTGGTTGGATACGACAATTTGGTTGATCATAGGCTTTGCAAAGCCAAGCAAGTTGATTTTAGACTGATCAAAATACAGAAATATTAAAAAATATATTATTTTTGGGGTAAGATTTAAACCTAGATATGTGAATTTAGATACTTTAGCTTCGAGTTCTTCATTGCTTGACTTGTGTTATGCAGTTAAATAAGCTGAACGAATGCAGTTGACTATACTGATGAGGAAGCCCTCCAATATTTTATATTGATGTATTGTAATCCTTAATTGTGCTTTAAAATGTATTTTATTAACTATGCTTATGATTTTTAATTAATGATCATTGGTTATTTGATTATTGTATTCCATAACCAAGAAGAGATACATCATAGTATGCATAATTTTGATATTTTTAATTTTAAAATCATAAATATATACTAACATGCCATGCCATACTAGAATTTGGTACTAGAATTTGGTTTTTTTTTTTTTTTTGACTTTGAGTTATATCGATCATATTTGATCCTTCCTAATTTAAAGCATAAACATGATAGTGAAACTACCAGGACTTGTAAGACTACTACACTTGAATCTCCATAGTGTCTGTCATCACAGTCAAAATTTGGTTTGAAAACTTTGTTTAATTCAGTATAATGCTTCTTTTTGTTAGTGGTGTGTTACTTTTATGCTTAATGTTGTACTAATTCATGTTTGTGCTTGCATTCACAAATGAAAAGAATGATTTCTTAATATTTATTTATTTCTCTTAGAAGATAAGACTTATGGAATAAAGTGCCATTTCCGAAGTAAAAAAGTCTAATAATCTAATAAGTTTAGAAAGAGCTCTAGATGAATGTCCGAATCATAGCCATACTCTATTGGTGAAGGGTCTTTGGAAGCGCCTGATACAGGGGTCCGTTTTTTATGAGCAAAACTTTAGAGCATTGAATTACTTTGCTTTGTGATGCTAGCTGAACTATTTCGGTTTCCTTACGCATAAAATATTTTTGAGATAAAATATATGCATTCAATATGCTTTGATATGTTTTTCTAGACTAATTTTTCTATGCTGTAATTTTTTTGAGAGATCTGTGGAGGTTGGCCTTTTTAAATTCCACTATTCTTCTTATGAATTTGAAATAGCATATTATAAGATGATCTAGATGGAAAGATATGTTCTCTTTTGCTTAAATGAAGTGTTTTCTGTTATATGCTGTCATTGAAATCTGATAATATATCTAATGTAAATATGTGTTATCTGTCAAATTATTTTTATTTGTTAACTTTTTTTTTTCAAAAAGAATTTTAATGAGGCCTTATATCATCTCTTTAAAAGCTAAAACACTTTATGCAATTCCAATAGTTTATTTTGTTTATATTTATTTGATTGTTAAAGGCTGATGCATTCCTGGGATGATATATTTGAAATAAATCTTCTAAATTCTAAGCAGGATAAGAATATGCTTGATATCTATAACTTATGTCTTTTTCAAATGTTTGAGTACTTTTTTGCTTAGTAATTTATCATCCTATATGACCATGACAATTGGTGGCACTTGTATGGGCATGCAAATGAAGAGAATGATTTCTTAAATTTTAGGTATCTTTTGTAGAAAATAAGCCTTTTGGAATAAAGTGCTCTTTTTTCAAATAAGAAAGTTCAGAGTGCAATTGATTTACGAGGAGCTCTAGATGAATGTACGAATTGTAGTTGTATTTTTTTTGATAAAAAAGCTTTGAAAGGATAACCTGATTTACTGAGTCAAACTGCTACAAGTAACACTAAAAGATTTAATTACGTCAGATTGTGGTATTACTAGCAGAATATGGGTTTTCTCACCCATAAAACGTTTTTTGAGATAAAATACAACATTGATATGCTTTGGTCACTTTTTTTTTTTTTTTGAATTTTTACTTCATGATGCAGTTTTACAGAGAGATTAGTGGAGGCAGCCTTTCTAAATCTTCCTGTGATCCGTATGAATTGTAAAAACGTTTTCTTACATATTTTTATTGGATGATTTTATTGCCATCTTCTCAATTGAAGTATATATTTTTTTTGTTACTTAAAATTTTTCTGTTATATGTTCTCATGAGAATCTAGTAATACATCTAATGTCAAGCCGAGTTATCACTCAAAATGTTTTTTAATTGTTAACTTGAGGACTTTTATCCTCTTAGTACAACCGTGATGCTAGACGCGGCACCCATAATGGATATTTTTCACATTATTTTGGCTGTTCACAATTTGAGCGTAAGTTTATTAAAGCTATACATCCAGAAAGGGACCATAAGTGCTTACCATTTATTTCAATAAAATTTGTGTTATATTTAATGGATGAGAGTTGGAATTGCATCACTAATCTTTTTTTTTTACCTAAATACAGGAATGTTGACGATAATCAAGAAATTAAATCTATCAAATCTAATGGGGAGGCTGACATTCACGAGACACATCATGTGAAAAAAATGAAGAAGTCTATGAATAATGATCACAATGATCTTGGAGAGAAAGATGGTTGCTTATGTAGGGAAGAGGTAATCAAATTTCATTTGAATGCTATTTGATTGTTTTTCCTCTTCTTTGTTGATTTGTGATTTCAAGGTCGATCCTTAATTAGAAAAATAATTCATAGATAGTCAAACAACTACCACTTCAAACTTAAGCTCCATATTTGAATTAAGAAAAGTTGTATTCGCAATTTAGTTTTTTTTTATAACTTATGAATGTGTTGGTCTTTTCTGTGTGTTTAGGAGTGATATTTATATAATGTACAATACCGTTTTTAACTAAGAATTTATCAGCTCACACTTAAATTAGTTAACTAGCTGTGTTTTTTTGCTCATGGGCTAACAAATCCTGCAAAATGTAAACTAGGTTTGCTTCATCAATGTGAATTTATGGAAACAAGATGTTCTAACTTTTATTATTTTATTTTAAGCTAGGATATATTATACTCTTCCAATAAAATTGATTTATTTATATTAATAGTTATTGTATTTAAACCATTTGTATCATAAAATAACTTTTAAGAGCTATTATGAGGCCTGATGGTGTAATGCTTACTTAATTCCATGTGTTAGTATTTATACCGCTACAACAAATACTGAGATGAACTTTGGGGAGAGGCTTATCAATCATCACCTGTGGATAATTTTTCTTATTTTAGCATACCAATTGGTTCACATAGTCATATTTGGTTTTGCCCAAGCAGGTTATGTTGATGAAGCATGAATTGTCTCCCCTATCTCGACAGACATGTTAAGCGTAGGACAACCTACATTTAAATTGCAATTAGATGCGGCTTTCCTTTCAAAAAAATTACATGACTTCAATCTTGCTTTTTGCAAGTGATGCAGAGACAGTTAGTCTGATGTTACTACTATCCGACTTAACATTAGATTTAGCTGAGTGCATGTTTTTCTCAGGATCATCATCAGCTTTTGTGTTATAAATAATTCTTTTATCCTCTATTTGCCACTGTCTTAAAGTGATTTTTTCATTTTGATAGGAGTGTAATTGCTTAAGACCTGAAGACCAAAACTCATATATCCTCATCTTCAGGTGCTTGAGAACCCATGATATTTGAATGACTTGGTTTTTAAGATTTCGACCCCTAACCCTCCAACTCCTCTATCTTCTCTTCTACAGTTTCCAACGCTACTTTGATTGCCATCTCCGGATCTCACTCTTCTCGATATCTCGTTCCTACAGTTCATGGCCCCTTCCTAGCGGATTCTATGACATCATTTCCCTGCTCTCCCATATCTCAAGCTCGTCATGCAGATCCAAAATCTACCTGCTTCTCTGTTGGCAGCAAAGTTCATAGCTGATCCAAGGATCCCGTCAATTGTTTCTCATTAGAGCTAAAAGTTATCTACTTTTAAAGATTTTAGAATAGTATGGCGAAGCATTAAAAGGCTTTGCCTTCCTCGTCTTTTAGATGAGAAATCTTTTCTCGGGATATCCATAACTACCTTGAAGCTTTGAGGGTGATGAGCGGTTC